ATTAATTTAAAATGGAAAAAAGTCATACTGTGGAATCATGTCTTGATCTCTACAAATGTGGTTTGCCCAGTAAACTTTCTGTTTAACTGTTGAGGTGAAAGTCTGTCAAAACTGTCAAAACCAGTTTTTTGACAGACCTTTAATATCAGTTGCTGGTAATTTCTGCCCCAATATGTCTAACTTGAGTGATCTGCTTTACTAGTAGTAGAATTATTTCTTCCCTTCAGTCTAACTGTACACATCATCATTTGTGCATGTAGTATTAACTGTGCGTTTTCTATATGGTGTAGTGTTGCAGATATTGGTATTCAGTGCTGCTACTTTCATATTTAACAAAAAATAATTTATTTCAATTAATTACTTTTTTTTTTTTTTAAATACAAGGTACAGCTTCTGTAATTTAAAAGTTGGCAAAAGTGATCTGTAGTTCTTTTGGAATCTGCCCTGAATTCTTGAAAGTTGGAAATGGAATTCAACATCTCTATGTCCCAATATGTTTGCAAATTTATTATTGTAAGAGTGAAGGATTGAAGGGGGCCAATTGTATTGAATTAAGTCTTGCGAGCATTTATGCAACTGCTCATCAGACACACATCAAACCCCACCTTAGAACAAAGTAAATTGTTTGCCTCCACTCTTGTCTCCACTACTGGAAGATGGATTGATACAGTGACATGTTTCTTAATGTCTTGTGTAAATATATTCATACTTTATTTATGCCCATTAGTTTTAGTACCAATATTGACCCTTAATGTAAACATTTTTCATGCATTGATATTGATCTCTGTTTTTTCCAGGTGGGGCAGGGAGCCCATATAAGCCAGGCATTTCTATTTTGCTTTCCTAACTTAAGTTCTCTGTCCCCCAATCATTATAGTAGCCTCTCTGTGCATGCAGCACAATTTTGAGTTAAACGTCCAGGAATGGGGATGATTGGAGCTGCATGAAGTGCTTCAGGAGGAGAAACTTTGTACTGAGGCATTTCTATGGCCCTGTTTTTACTGTAACTGTATCACCTAGTATGGATTGTACCTGCTTTTTTACAATAAGGAGGCCTAGACATTATTTCCTCCTTCTGTCATTTCCAGGTTTTAACTCCCAATGTACAGCAGATGCTTTTATCCTAGCCTCAAAATGCATAATTTTGCACTTTGTACTGTTAAATTTCATCCCGCTTACATTAGTCCAGTGCTCAAAGCAATCCAGCTGTGCCTTCTGCTCTTTCACCATATTAATGATGTTTCACAACCTTGTGACAGTACTCATTTTGGCACTGTTTAGTACCAAAATTTGTACTATAAATATGTATGTGCGTACACAAGCACACTCTTATTTTACCTTTTCTTTCTATATGCTAGTACTTCTCTATTGCATGTTACCTGCCATCTACTTTTGGAAGTTTCTTAGATATCTTATGATTCTTCTAATCCTAGTCTTTTCCCTCTTAAATATGATTATGGCGTAGTTAATGGTATGCTAAATCCATGTGCATTACAATTAATTTATTAATTGGTTACATATCAGTTTGACATGATATTCTTTGATAAATGTACTTTGCATTTTATCCCACTTTTCTCTGTGATGTAAGGTATTTTTTTCTTGGATATTTGTCCTGAAGCTTTTAATATCCCTGACACCAGACTAATAAGGTAGCTAATTTTCACCATTTCTTAGACATAAATACTAATTTTCTCTTTGCCTAGCCTAGCCTAGCCTGTGTTATCTCTTCCTTCTAATCTTCAGTTTATCAGATCACTGAAATACAGAGCTGCTTCATCACCCTGACTTTTCAGTGTTTCCTGGATGGAACCGGTTCTTCAGTAGTGAGACTGGTACCTAGTCCATCATGTTTATGTTACTTCCGTAATGTTCAGTTTCATTTCCTACACTATTTTTTTGTTCTGTTGCCCAAGATTCTTGCATTAGTGCACAAATACTTTAATTGTTCCTAACTAACCATTCACAGCTTCTTAGCTGAATTAATTCCTGCACTACCTGCATCATCAGTCTATCAGCATTACTGTTTTCCTTCCTTGCTCCCCATCAGCCTGTATTCTGTTAACTTTTGAGTTTCACTGAGAGACTGCCCAGTCACTACCTACGCATTTTATCCTCTCTGCTGACTTGGGCAGAGGCATGAAACTTTGAAACATTTTTTTTAATGTTGCTTTCAGTAGATGTTGTTTTTATCAAGTCCTGTATCATGGTTTAATGTTGTTGACGCAGTATGGGATAAATGTACCTGTTTCACACACACTACGCTTGACAACTATTAATGGCAAAGGTTACTTCTCAGACAATATGGAATTCCTGGTGTTTGTGCAAGAAAGGTTATCAGTACTTTTAAATCTCTTAAGGGTGGTTGAGGTCTTACTACTTCTTCCCACATCCAGGAATTAAAAAATGATCAAGTGCTTTGTCAACATAACATGGTCCTCACAAGCCAGACTTCGGTGCCCACACGGACATCTGGCTATGCATAGGTGTAGGGTTTGGAGCAGGAAGAGGAGAAGAGAGCAGGACAAGACGCTTACACTACAGTCCTTTCTGCCAGTAGTTGCCATCTTCTGCCTGTGAATCTCTGGATTTGCGTTAGAAGAACGAAATGACACCTAAAACATGATGGTGTGGTTGGCATCTGTCTCATCCTGATTTCATGGAACCTGTCTGCCACATTGCAACATAAAAGGACTTGAAACAGCGGAGGGACTTTAAAAAAATAAAGGGCTGATAGGGTTGGAATTAGATTAAATTTAGTCTGTTGTGCTGAAATCTCCCTCTGTGAGCAGGCAGCAGGGAAGGTGATGAGGATTTAGGCCTCAGGAAGAGTCATTTAATTCCTGATTACCACCAATCACTTTCCCAAATTCCTTTTCTCATCTACTGGAACAGTTATATTTATCAGCCAGCTGTCCAGGGAGGTTTCTGTGTAGAAATTGGCTGGAACTCTTGAACCCTGGATCCGAGTGATTCCATGGATATTGTAAATATCACAGATGAGATGCTGGACTCTTTAATGCCAATGTAAGTTTTGTTAATGACTTGCTAAGGTCAGGATTTCACTTATGTTTACATATATGTTGGACTTTCTTTTGGTAGTACTCTGAGAGTGGGAAAGAATTTGATTGTTTATCTGAAATGGTGCTGAATGGATCTCAGACTGATCAGTGCTGCATCTGGATTCACTTTCACAAGGGACAATATGGAACAAAACTCCTGAAAAATTATTTTTTTTTTAATTGAAATCAGAAGTCTTGAAAGCCCTCACATTTTACTGTTTTATATGAGGGAAGGGCTGGCAACTTCATGTTTTCTCAGTTGAAGCAAGTTATCAGATTTTGAATACGTTACAATATATCAGGACTGCGATAGGTAATAATGCAGTCATTATCAAAGGTATGCTGCAAGGCATCATGGACTGACATTTTCAAATCACCATGTAAATCTGCCTGACACAGCTTTAAAAGAAATATAACAAGACTGAAAGCTCCAGTGTTTAGTCTAAAAACACACATGGCTGTGGTTGCTGTTTTAGCCTATGTGGGCTAACCGTAGAAGCCTTTTGTCAACTCTCTGGCCTACTGAGTGGTGTCAGCTTGATTTGTGTGTTAATTTGCTGACTTTTTGGTTTGATGCTTTCTGTTAAAATTCACATAAAGACCCTGTGTGTTTTTGCTTTATTTAGCAGCTTTCCCTAATCTAAATGCTCTTCCAAAGACTGCCCTTGGTATCACTGAAACTAAGAGAAAGTGCTTTCAACATTTATTCACTGTTGGAATCATTTATTTGCCGTTTATATGATACTGAAAAGACGGAGGCAGATGGAGAGCCTTGTAAAGTGATGATACAGCCAAACACAGAGAAGAAACACAGTGGCAGTCTTACAAGATCTTTCCCTTATGGAAAAGTACTGAATAAAATGACCAGTGGTATAAGCTGTGAACCACCTAGCGTCAGCTCAGCCTAGTGCCTTCCTGGCACCAAAGCTTGTCCTGTTTAAGTTAAAGGATCCTCCTCACTCCATCTTACGTGTCCTGGTTCTTTAGGTCTGGTTTGCTTGAGGAAGATGACTCGTTACTGGCAGAGGCTGCCAGGAACCATGAAACAGCTCTGGACTGGATCTCAGTCCAGACTTGCAACTAGGATGGTGTTTTGACACCATTTTTCCTTGCTTGTTGATGGCATGTGTGATTGCCTGTGATGATTTTCTTGGGGCAGATGAGGTACTATGGACTTTCCTCCCTGGAACAGATCACTTCTAAAATATAAATTGATTGAGCAGTTTAGCTGGCACTTCAATGTTAGATGGAATAACTGCTAATTCTGTAGTGTTTGTGTAGCCTGAATGACTCCCCTCATGCTCTTCTATTAAGGAAAGATCTACAGGCCAATGTATGGGCACCAGGGTGCTTATTTTCAAATAACAGATGAAATCATGCTATGCTTACTGCATCTCAGAAACTGAAGAGTCATGCCTTGGAAGTGTCCTTTCCAAGAACAGCTCCAGAAAACAGTTCCTTGAATCACTAACATTATCTCTATTTTTTGAGTCAACACTGATCAAAAGTGCACCCTCAGGAAGTGGCTGGAGGGTGTGGGTTTGGTGTGAAGTAAAAGGCTCACAAATTTCCATTGGACTTTTGATAAAAATAGAAGGATCAACCATTTTCAGTAGTTGTCATGTATTATTTCCCTAGCTTAAATGAATGTTCCTCTATGTCTGAAAACAAAAAATAGTATTACCCTTTATGTCAGCATCTGTTGTGTGTTGTTAAATAGCTGCCATACCACATACTTTAAGCTACAATTCATGGATGAAGTAAGTCTTTGTCCTGACCTGTTGCTGCAGCTTGACGCTCCCAGGGATTGCAGTGAATCTAGGATCAGGCCCACGGTGGAGAGAGCCTCTAAAGTTCTCTATAACCAATTCACTATAATTTAAAAACTCTAGGTTTGTATTTGCCACCACTGAATGCTGTGTCCTGTTTTCCTTTCCACAGGCAGAGTCACCCCAGAACAGCTCAGCTCATACATTCAGCTTTTCAGAAATAATCTCAAAGCTTTGGAGAACCATTGTGGTCTTCTACAGCTTGTGCTGGCCACGGTCCAGACTTTGAAACACCCCCAGACTTCCAAATGGGACAACTTCCTTGCCTTTGAGAGATTACTTCTGCAGGTACATATTACATGAACTTACTTGACCTAAGTAAAAATGTTTTATTTAATTTTTTTTAATTCCCATTAAATTCTGTAGGTTGTATTTTTTTATGAAGAAGTGTGTTGGATATTTTGCTAAAAAACTGTTCCTTGCTGCCAAAGTGGTGAAAGGAATGGGAACCTACAGAGTTAATCTTTAATAGTTTTGTCTAAGAATAATTTTATAAACAAAAGGGTAGACATTAAAGGTGAAGTACATAAATAATCTGAATTGGGTGATGGTTTTACATCTCTGTGAAATTCCAAGATGATATAACTTTTAGCTTTGGATGGGATTATTATTATTACTGTTATCGCTATCAGTCTGAAGACGTTTCTTGAGGTAATGTGCAGAATCAATTGCAGAGAGGACTTTGTTACTATGTGAGTGTAAATCCTGTGTAATTTACTGAGCAGATGAAAGCATAGTAGGAAATTCCATGCACGAAGAGAGTGAGATTTCTTTTGCTCACAGCTGTCATCTACCCTCAGCTTTTCCCACCACCACATTTTTTACAGCATCCTGTTGGTGACCACAGTATTATTTACATACCATTTTGTATCACTCTTGGATTTCTCTCAGGAAATTAGGAGTTAGTGGTATATTGAACTCTATCCTACTAACCTTTGGAGATGTACCAAACAAAGGAAGAGTATTTCTAAAAACCTAATACAGTTAATTGCTGCTGAAAATCAAGGAAAGTTCAAAACTTTCTTCTCTGTGTTGTCTCTTCTGCCATTGTATTGGTTTTAGAGTAACCATCTTCTGAAATCCTAGCAAGAGGCAAGTCTTCATGAGCTAACTTCTAATGAAGTTAGAGTCAGCCTTAAATAAGTGAAGTGTATAGTGTGGACCTCAACTAAAACCAGATACTTCTTCTGTAACAATTAGCTGTCTTTGTCTAGATGTTGAAAACAAATCAAGAACCTGACTCTCCCCATGATCTCTGGCAGCAGGATATTATCCCTGGTGCTTTGAGAAGACTCCACCCATACTTCATAGCTTTGTAATCAGTGAATTTCTGCGTCATTTGGAGGGCAAAAAATGCAAAACTTAAATAGTAGCAAGCTCTTGTCTACATTAATTAAAAAACCTATTCTCTCTTGGTAAGACTGAAATATTTTTTTAATAACATAGAAAGCCTTCTTTCTCTAGTTAAGAAACAAACACACCTCAGGTAAAAGGACTCATTGCAGCCATCCTTTGGTTTGTGTGGACTGTGGAGCATGGGACTGACAGCCCATAGTCCCCTTCTCCCTCCTGCAGTGACTCATGTCACATAGCTCTTCTCAGAAGCTGGCTAAGTTCCATCTTAAAACCAGTCCAGCTTTAGAATCAAAATAAAGCTGCAAGCTCAGCATTGTTTTCACAACAACAGACATCTGCCTATATAAAACCCATGCCATAAATCACCAGGGAGTGGAAAAACAGAGGTAAGCAATAACCAAACTATACATTTCACAAAAAAGAAACATATAACAAGCACTCTTGTAATCGTAGGTGGCTTTGGATTATACCCACTGCCTTCCACCCATCATATTAAGGTAAAACGTGTTAGCCAAAGCAAACTTTATAGGCTAACATTTGCAACTGTTCCTTAAGCACATACTCATTTTCAGTAGTTCAAACAACAATTATTTTGAATTACACAATCTGTACAGCATGTATCCTTTTCCTGACTCTATTTTGAAGACAGAGTCTGACATGCATTATCTGCTTCTGAGCACATGGCCTGTCTCTGATCTGTTGACAGGAGTTTGTAGGAAGAGCAAAATAGCAAGAGACCCAGAAGACATCAGAGATATTTTTATTTTAAAAAATCAGCTAGGACATTACATTGTGAATGGTTGGTACATAGCACTCTGCACTAAAATTGATGCCATGGTAGTTTATTTCAGCAGTACTACTGAGAAATTCTTTAGTAAAATTGTTAAGTTTCAGGTATTTTAAAATAATAAATCTTAAAAAATCCTCAATAAAAAGTAATTGTTTCAGTGTGAAAGTAGTTACTATCCTATATTGGAACCACATAGAAGACAACTGTTTGTGAAAGATCTACTGGGAGTAATATTATTAGACAAGGACAACGTAGGAATTCTAGAGTTTTCACTGATGGATGCATGTCAGACTCTAGCTGATGCCAAAGGAGATAACCCAGTATAAACAGCTGGTGTTAGAATTCTCAGATTTCCCCCAAAAATAAATCTGCACAGTTTTGGAATTGCTGTCATTGCTGGATCTCTCTGATGGGTCTCATGATTCTCTGCTTAGTCTACTTTGTGCTTTTCAGAAAAAAACACATTGTTGACATGAAACCTTTAGTCTAACTCATACATGGAATAACCTCTTCCATTTTTCTTCTTCACTCCTTGATTCACTCCTTTCAGTTGATATTGCAGGTACTTAGTTCTAAAAATAGCCTGATAGAGGTAGAAAGGAGCCCATTTCCACTATTTTACCATAATTAAAGATCTGTAGCTACATTTTTCAGACCTATGTTGTCTCAGTAAGTTTTTTGTACCTCCAGCAAGGAAGTTTGGTTTTGACTAGAAGTCTGCTGAAAGTCAGTGGAGCTGCATACTTACTACAGAGTTGTCCTCTCCTTAACTGGGATGGATGAATGATCTGAGAGCAAAACTGGGTTGTGATGGGATCATGGTCTTGACCTCAAAGGAAAGAGGATCATGTGCTGGGTTAAGAGTAATGCATCAGAATGATTCATCTTGTCGATCACAAGTTTTCTCTGTGTTCAGCTGTTCTACCTCTGCACATAATGGAGTTTTTACTACCCAGAAGTTTTAAATGCTTTGGAGTTGAAACAGTATATTGTATTTACCAAGGAGATATCACATCCCATCGTATTTTCCTTCTCTTGAGGTCCTCTTTCTGACCATCCATAAAACTGGTAGGTGGGAAGGGGAGCACAAACTAAACGCTGCACCACACTGCCTGCAACTCCCCAGTATTCCTCATGTGACTGCCATGATTTCCTTCAAGTAAGGATTTAAAATTTAGGGATGTAACAGAAAGTAAGAAAGTGTGTTGTCACTTCATTCTTTTCAGCTCTGTTTAGCTATATCCCCTGTTCTCAAATTTATGATTTTCATAAAGGTTTATTAAGCAGCAGAGGCCCATGAAATACAAAAGCACATGAAGAGCAGCTCTCTTCCAGAGTTTAAACAAAGTGTGACACTGTGACAGGAAAAATATTTTCGTTGTTTTTAACATACACTACTCATATATTCACTGAGCAGGGATTTCTGCCCCCAAATTCAGTTTAAAAGTACTCAGCAGCAGTAGACAGTGTGAATGGGGGCATAATGTGCCCCAAGGGAAGGTGCAGTTGCCCTGTGAAGGGTACTGCTCTGAAATTCCCCAGGTTGGATGCCTTCTCTTAGAATTGGCTGCATCCTTCTGGCATAATCTTGCTTTCAAGATTTAAGAGTAAAGTACTTCTCATACTGAGTAGTAGTCTACTTTATTAATAGCCCCATCCATTTAAATCCCAAGGTTGGGGTTTATTCAGTGCAAGCAACTTTATCAGACTGAGTTTCTCAAATAACATATGGAGTACTTGAAATGCATTTCCCCCCAAAGAAAACAGACATTCTCCAAGCAATTTAAAATTCTGCTGCTGTACTTTGGAGTGAGACAGAAGAGGAAGGGGAGGATTTAAGTTGATTCCAAGTTCCTGTAAGTTGCCGTGAGCAAAGACATTATCATGTTAAAAATTTTACTCTTAGTGCTGTCATTTCTGTGTAGCAGCAATGGCAGAAAATTCTGGCAACAGTTGTATCAGTTGGCACTGCATGGCAGCTAAAGGCTCATTCCACCTTGTCCATAGCTAATTGTCTGCTGCACATTTTTAAATGCAAACCTTTCTGCTAAACTGAGTGGATTTGAAATGCCAGGTCCTGTGCATACTGTGTTTGGATCCCATGGTAGAAACTTCCCAGTGTAGATCCCTTTCTGTAACATATAATGCCTAGTAATAACTCAAAGAAAAATCTCTTCCACAATATTATTTATATTTCTTGCTTTATTCCTTACAAACAACTCATACTTTATCAGGCAGGTTTTTTGTACCAGGACTGTTGAAAGCAAACAGTTATTTTGACCTCCCCCAAAAAGGGGAGGGATGTGTTTCTTCTTTAGGATGAAGACATTCTCTTCCATTTTGGGTTGTCTGAGCTAAACTTCATTTTAAAACTGCAAATGTACCAGTACTGTTGTCTTAAAATAACTGCATTGCCCAAAGTAAGGAAATCTGAAAGATTACTGAATTCCTTGTTATTACGGTGTTGGGGAGGGGATTGTTGCTTCTTGGGGCTTTTTTGTGGCACAGAGTTTTTGCACCTGCTGACCAGCATTTCATGGTTTACTGGGAAATTAAACAGCTTCAGCATTGACCTAGAAGCCATGATGCTACCATTGGATCTCAGTACTGTCAAAGTTTTGTTTTGTGATGCTGAATAATGTCACATAATCTCAAGAGTAATTGGAATTAAAGGTCATACTAAAAAAACCCCAAAACAACAAACCCACAAAACCAAACCAAAACCAAAAATCCCCAACACATTCACAGTTTCATTTATAGATGAAAAACCAGAGTGTAAACTGGGGGCTATATTGTTCTGGTTGGCTATAATTAGCTTTATGATGCATATCCAGCTAAAATCCTTTCAGCTTTAACCTGTTTGAATTGTCTGACTTCTCAGACTTAAAGCCACTTGAATTGGGACCATGTCCCCTCTGAGCTTTGACTCCTTTCATGTCCTGCACTGTCTATGAGGTAAGTGCCTTGCTGATTGGGAGAAATGTCATCGGTGAGTTTGGAAATGGCATGTTTCTAGCAGATATTGAGGCCAGCTATTCAATTGACTTGACAACGTGTACCACAACTTCACACACATCCTATTGCTCTTGGATTTGAGCTCACAATCAGCCTACCTAGCTCAATAGTGTGTTACTTCTATCCT